AGAAGAAGAAGAAGAAGAAGAAGAAGAAGAAGAAGAAGAAGAAGAAGAAGAAGAAGAAGAAGAAGGAGCAGGAGAAGGAGCAGGAGGAGAAGAAGGAGAAGGAGAAGGAGAAGAAGAAGAAGAAGAAGAAGGAGAAGAAGAAGGAGAAGAAGAAGGAGAAGAAGAAGGAGAAGAAGAAGGAGAAGAAGAAGGAGAAGAAGAAGGAGAATGAGAAGAAGAAGGAGAAGAAGAAGGAGAAGGAGAAGAAGAAGGAGAAGAAGGAGAAGAAGGAGGAGAAGAAGGAGGAGAAGAAGGAGAAGAAGAAGAAGGAGAAGAAGAAGGAGAAGGAGAAGGAGAAGGAGGAGGAGAAGAAGGAGAAGAAGAAGAAGAAGGAGAAGGAGAAGAAGAAGAAGGAGAAGAAGAAGAAGAAGAAGAAGAAGAAGGAGAAGGAGAAGAAGAAGAAGAAGGAGAAGGAGAAGAAGAAGGGATCTAGATTCCGAGATATATAAAGGTGTTTGATAACTTTACATTACCCAAATCAGGTACTCTAAACCACAAAGTACGTTTGCAATAAAATTGAAAGGCCCACTTTACAGATTAAAGCAATCTAGGCAGATGTGGTATACTTGCCTAAGTGAATACTTTATTGGGAAGGGATATACGAACGATGAACTATGCACTTGTGTATTTATAAAGAAAATGAGTTATAGACTTTCAATCATAGCTCTATATGTTAATGTTATGAACGTACTAGGCACTCTTGATGAAATAAGAGAAAACCCAAGCTACTAAATCTGAGATGAAAATTCTTGGGAAAACTTGGTTTTGTCTAGCTATTTGAGCTAGGACAACGAGTATATGAAATATTATTCCACCAATCCACATATGTCCAGAAAATAATGAGGCGATTTAATATGGACAAAGTGCATTCGGCTAGCACTCCCATGATCGGTCGAAGTGTTGGATATAAGGAAAGATCCATTTTGTCCAAAGGATGATGACGAAGAGGTGGTAGGAGCTGAAATTCCATATCTAAATGCAAGAGGTGCATTATCGTACTTAGCACAATGTACTTGACCAGATATTGCATGCATCATTCCCAGTTAACTTGTTAGCTAGATTTAGCTAGTGCCAATGCAAAGTCATTAGAATGGTATCAAGAATATACTTCGATACCTAAAAGGAACCATCAACATGGGTTTATTCTTTCCCTACAAAGAAAAAAATGGGGTTACAATACTTGCTAAGAGTATTAACAAAGAAAGCGTTATCCCATATAGTGAAACCCGAAATGATATATTAGTAGGCTTTGTTGATGCTAGGTATCTTTTTGACCTACACAAAGGTCGTTCCCAAACAGGATATGTTTTTACAATTGGGAATACGGTGATTTCTTTGAAATCTACCAAGCAAACCCTTATAGATATCATCTTGAACCATTTAGATATTATTGCTCAACATGAGGCGGTTCGAGAGTGTAAATGGCTAAGGTCTATCATTACACATATAGGAGGGGCTAATGGCTTAAACTCAACCACTCAAATCCTACATGCATATATGAAGATAATGCAACTTGTATCGAACAAATGAAAGTAAGATATATCAAGGGTGATAATACAAAATTTATTTCGCCAAGTTTTTTCTATAATCAGCAACAACAGACTCTCCTTAAGATTCAAGTGAATCAAGTAAGGTTTGAGGAGAATGTGGCTGATTTGTTTGCCAAATCACTGCATAGGCCACATTTGAGAAATATGTAGAAATATTGGAATGTGGAGACTTTCCAAACTTCATTGATTAAAATACGTATCAGGGGGAGTAATAGACAAAAAGGGGAGTCTACTATACATGTGATATTGGTATGCTTATTTTTTCCATTGGGTTTTATTCCTTGGTGTAAGTTTTTAGTGAGACAACAAATTATATACCATATTGCTTGCAAAGAAACTGGTGCGTTGTACTCCTTCTTTCGTCCTAATTTTATTTTTTCCCACTGAGTTTTTATTTTGGCATAAGGTTTTAACGAGACAGTTGTGCACCATCACACCTTTGACTCCGCACAAAGAGGAGTGTTGTAGAATAAGTGCGTCATCGTCTAAAGGGCGTGACGATAGAGATAGAGATAGATATATTAGAGTTAGATTAGAAGTGAAATATCTCGTAGTTATCTATTTGTGACTCATCCCTATAAAAATGGCTTATGATTAATGAGAATTACATATTCCTTTTCTCTATTCAATTGTTATTAATTTTCAGTTATTCTATAACAATATTTTTCTCTACTTACACGAAAAACGTTGATTTAAGATCAACAATATATATTGGTGTTCAAAATTCTATTTTTTTAACATTTTTTTATCTTCGAGTTGGTAATTCACATAAGACATGATATAATAATGGTGACGATGAAACGATCATTTTGTCAAAATATTTGTAATAATAGACCAAAATCACAATTAAAATAATTGATGGACTAAACTACAGACTAAAATTAGTCGATGGACCATTTTGGTAACTTACACCAGATATTTGTCTATAAAAGAAAGAGATGAACCCCTTCGCCCCGACCTTTGTCATACTCTTTTCAATTTTTTGTTTTTGTTTTTAGGGGCGGATTTAGGCTTAGGCTACATGGTGCCGATGCATCTACTCTATCGTCCTGCCGCAATGGAAACCTTTTTCTATTCGTGTTGAAAATTTCATGTGCTTTGGATTTTTCTAAATTTATCCCTACTTTTGCTCATATCTTTTAATCTATATGCAATTTAGTCTCTGAATTTACAGATCTAGATTTCCTTCAAGTTAGATCTAATTTTCTTTCAAAATTCTTGTTTCAAGGGTCAAAGTGATTTCTGATCGGATATCGCTGGTAAACATTTTAATTTAAAAGGTTATTGATTGTTTTCAACAATCTGAAGAAACAAATGCTAGATCTGACTTGCACGGCCGTTTTGCCGAATAATTCTGTTTTCGATCTGGACATTGATGCTGATCATCTTATCGTTGTTCATAAATTCTACGTGTTCTTGAGTTTCAGAATAATGCGTAAAAACGATGTATATATGATACATGTTTTTCTTCTTCACTGTTGCTGGATGAAATGTCTAGAGCTCTGAAGAATCCCCATTGGGCCACTACATTATTTAAGGTAATTTGCTTAATTAGATCTACGAGTTTATTAGTTTTTAATTAATTTCCAGATATTTGAAATATGGAAAAAAAAATTCTAGATATTTGAAATCTAAAAAAAAATCTCTAGATATTTATACGAAATTTGAGGATGATGGTATATCAACTTTTTATAGCAATAACCGTATGAACAATATATATTGATCCCAGTGATAATATTGTTCATCTGTTGTCACATTTAATTCTATCGAATTTAATTTTTATGATTGTTGGATGTTAAATGAAACGTTATTTAATTGGATTAATTAGGCTTGCTTTGGTTTTATCAACTTGCTTATACTGTTCTTTCCTACCTTCTAAAGAAACCAAATCCACAAGGTGAAACAAGAGTCATCGGAGTTGGCTGCATCTGTTGAACCCGAGGGACTGAGGTGGTGGTTTGAATGGAGGAAAGCATTTTTGAGACTCTATCGTTACGCCATCAATTATATTTCATTCATTGCTAAGATTAAAACTTCTTCACAATCTTTTCTTTGAGTTCAGAATAACTGCACAACGAAGGCATTTGAGATGCACAACAAAGGCATTTGAGATGCACAACGATCCAACTAAATCATTTGCAAAGATGCACATCGAAGGCATTCATTTGAGATGCAGAACAAAGGCATTTGGGATTGATGAAGGGGAATTGAGGTTCTTTAGAAGCTTGTTTTGTGGATAGGGATGTGATTTGTACAAGTTCTAATTTATGATTATTGTGTACAAAAATTTTGATTACCATATTTAATTACGGTTCAAATGTTTATAATTGTATCTTTTATGTTCAATGCATATATGGTTTTTGATGAAATGAATATGAGAATTGTGGGTTGTATTTTGGTTTCTTGCAATCCATCAATTACATATCAATGAATGTAGTAATTTAATGATTCATTTTTATTTTGGGTTGATTAAATTTATCTTCACGGTTGAAAGTGAAAAACGAAAAACAAAGAGTAAGAACGGTAAAATAGGAAACAAAATACATACAAAGTTAGCGAACAAGAAACCCACATGGCCAAATTAAGCGATAGCGAAGTCTGTAGTTTGATTCGCAAAATTGCTTTTATGAGATCCTCTATTGAAATATTTTGAACATTATTGGCAAAAGTGTAGTCGAAATGCCATATTTTTCAAAGATGGAGTAGGTTTATAGATTCTACCTTTTCAAATTGGCTATTCAATTCTTAACTTCTTAAATATTTAATTGTTAATATATTATCACTAAACGAACATAACTGAACGAACGTTAACAAACATAAGTAAGCAAACATTAACAAATAAACTTTTATTCATATTCGTTCATTTAACTAAATAAACAAAGAAACTTGTCCATGTTGTTCGTTTGTTAAATAAACGAACATAAACAAACTCCCGTCAAACGATTTGTGAACGATTAGCTGAACATTTGGTTCCTTTACAGTCCTTGTTTGATGATAGCCCATAACATAATATATAAATACTTGTAAAGTTAACGTGTACAAACACATAATTCAATTTACAAAAGCATAAAGTGGAAAAAGCATATGTAGTTAAGAAAAGAATCCTTGTGGTTAACACTCTTTCATTTGTGTGGTTTGAAATTATAATATAACTATTGTGGTTTGTAAAAACATTCGGATGTGGTCCCCATTTCTAACTATCATTAAAACAAATATGTTAAATGTGTGACATTTCCATTATTTTATCAACTTTTTTGTCTTTTACCCAATCAAAAATTGATTTTATGATTTTGGTTCTTCTGGTTTTTTATTGGATGAAAGACAAAAAAATTGATAAAATGGTGAAAATACCCCTCATTTAACAGATTTTTCAACGGCCATTAAAAGAAGGGACCAAATCCGAACGTTTTTGCAAATAATCATGCCCATCTTGTAATTTCCAAACCAAACATAATTCAGTATATCACACTCAGATGTACCAGACTTGTCTTCTAACCCAAAGAATAGAGCCACCGTTTCAATAATCATTGATCCATATAACAAGAAATTGTCAACAACTTAACTTCAAGTAAGTTTGAATTATCTCTTCCTGAGAAAGATCAGTGAAATACCCCTTCCCAACTGTCACACCCTCCTCCGATCCCAGCAATTCGACTGCACCCTGAACCTGATCACCACCAACTGCACTCGGTTCGAGCAGATTACAAGCCACCTCAATAGCATCACCATGAACCAGCGCCATAGATTGAACCGATGGGAGTCCACCGCCTCTTCCACTCACCCTTTTTGCAATTCTGCGAACAGTAGCAATATCAGAGCAAAAGACAGGAACATTGTAGTTATCAACCCACTTGGTTGCTCCTATGACAATGACCCCTTTGCGTTGAACCGCTTGGACTGGACCCACGTCTGGTTCAAGTGCCAGAACCTCTGACTGTAACCCACCTGACCACTGGTTTCCGGTTGCATTTGGCTTGAAGTAGCCGAGCTGCCTCCTGATGGAATCGAGTGTTCTCTGTTCACTATGAGCAGCTCCATATGTGTAGGTAGGGACTGCAGGCTATTTTTACGAACATTAGCAAGAAATTTACAAATAGAGCATGCACGATGGTTTGCATGTAAGAAATCGCTCACTCTTGCAAAAGTATACTATTTTCCAGGCAATTTTTGCAACACCAACAATGGTTTGCATGTAAGAAAAAGTCAATACTTATCTCAAGTAGCATAGGATGATCAATGACCGGTGAAACGTTTAAGCTCTGTTATTAAGACACAAATTTCCTCAAATGATGCCACCATTTTTATCTGCTACCCTAAACTAAACTGTTTGCTAATCCTACAAACATCTTTGGGTCAGTAAAGCTTGCAAGCTATCAAATCCGTAATTTCAATGTGATTTAGTAAGTCAGACCATAAAACATGTATATATATAGGAACCTCCCCTCTTTTTATAACGGCTCTTTTAGAGAAATATTTAAAGGGGATCCACATATCCACACTTGGTATCAAATCCATGGTCAACCCATCTAGGGACTTAGAGGGCGCTAGTTGGAATCCCACATCGACTAGACATGGACCATCAAACCCTTTGTATATGTAGAAACCTCCATTCTCTCTATGTGAGCTCTTCAAGAGACACATTCAACATATTCTCACACCAATAATGATTTTAATATCAATAATCCTTTACAATTCCATACTAGGCAAGAAAACGAACCTTTAAGCATGGATCCAATATCCGCAGCAAGAGCTTTGGCAGTCCCGGCAACTTGTTCAAGAGATGCTGAAGCTAATGGATGGAAACAGATATGATCAACAACCCCAAGCCGTGGATGACTTCCGGTATGCAACTCAAAATCAATGGCTTCGAAAGCTGCTTTCACCATTGAAAAAACAGCATGCTTCAAGGGACCCGAATTCGATGATGAACTAGGAGCCAGTTTTGAGACCAGGGTGTATCCTACTCTGTTGTAAGTCTCATCTTCAAATTTATTAACAAGAGCGGCCTCCGGAAATAGTTTGGCAGCTCGTTCAATCGACTCCAAAGCAGATATGTTCCGTGTCTCCGATATGTAAACTTTACAACAAGAAAACATGGATTTAAGCATTTCTATTCTCCCTCAGCAGACTTCCAAAGCTGCAGTATCCAAGAGACAATTCCGAAAGAACATATAAGCATCTCAAATTGAGCGATTTATAAGAACCTTATTTTTGCATTTTTGCTTATAACGACCTACCATTGTGGATGCTCTAAATGCTCAAATGAATCAATAACTGAACTGAATTAAGGAAAGCATTATTAGTACGAACTGCAATCATGCATCCTTAATTTGGTGAAGAACTGTACGTAATTAGTGAATCAATATATGAACAATAGCAAGCATTCACAATCGAATTGGTATGAGTAACTTAAGTCGATGATACTATAATCATACATCATTAATTTGATAAACAAACAGCTGTATATGTAACTATCGAATCAATATATCAACATTAGCAAGCATTACTGTTACGAATGGGCATGAGTAGCCTGAAGAAACCAAATTTCTGATATAAATGGCAAAAAAAACTGAAAGTTACGAACTAAAAGCACAGAAAGACGAAGATTTCTTACCAAATTCGCCCAAATCTTTCTGATTCTTTGAATAATGAAACTCGATTTGCAAAGTTTTTCAAATCTCTAGAAGATTTGTATTAACAGCTTCCATCACTAACCCTATGATAGTGAATCAATGTGAAACAGGAGGATTGTCTTTGGTGGATTTGTGGGGGATGTGGGAACCATGACTTCTCCTATCGATACCTCATCCACAGAGAATCGATCTGATTGACAACAAAAATTTAAGAATAATTTACAAAAAGGTCCCCAAACTATCATTCAAGTTACACAAATGTTGACAATTCCGGTACCTTCTATATGATTGTCCATATTCCTGTATAGCCGCATATCTGGTGTCTAATTGTTTTGAGCTTGGACTTCAAAAGTCAAGAGTGCCTACAAGTTTCAGATTCAAATTCAAGGAGAAATAGTCCTCTTGTGGTCACGAAGGTTCATTTCAAACTATCCACAAAGCATGTGGTCATCCTGGGATTAGTAGGTTCGCATTACGGGTTGAATATTCATGTTAATCAAAAAATACATTTTTACAAAATGGAATCGATCTTGACTTTTTGAGCAAGATGTAAGATTAAGTTTTACGTCCGAAATGGTTTTGACTGAATTCCCCTTTTACGTGTCTCTTTTTTGGTATATTTCATAATGAACAATGCAATAACAAAATATAGCATTATCAATTTTCTTATATATACATATTTGACGATGTCAGATATACAAAAATAATAACAACTGATTTTATGGTATTATAAAGATTTTTTTAAAAATTAAAATTTTTATACAAAATATTAATTGTAAAATATGATTGTAAATTTATATATATATATATATATATATATATTAAAATGATCTACTCCACTATTTAAGATGTAGACCGTTAACTATCAAGGATGAATATCTTTATGTATATTTAAGGGGAGTGTTAATGATATCTCTTAGTAAGGGGTGTTGAATGGTTTGGAAGGAAGAACGCTAATGACACTCTTATTACTTACTAATGACACTCCTATATCTTACGTAATCATTTTTTTTTTTGTCTTTTTACTCTTTTTTTAATACTAATTTTTTAGTTATGTTATTTAATTAAAAATATATTATTATTACAAATATTATTTTTTATTTTGTAAAAAAATTA